CTACATCACATTGACATCACCGCTTCAGCCAATTTGAAGTAATCATACTTACGTAGAGGGATTACAATTTAAAAAAAAACGTATACCTTTCTTATATTTAGTCAGATGTAATTGAAATTGAAATTTCATCAATTTGCTTGATTTTTCTGATTTTTCTGCTTTCGTGTAGAGTAGTTGTCTATTCGGGTTGGATTTCCATTGAATTAATAGTATTGTTTACTCATTGAATCCTCATCAGCATCAATTAACACTTTTCTTATTGAGGTCACTTATAATGTATATAATAGTCCCTAGTATTCTAAATAAAAACAATAGGCCTGCTGCAAAACGGTACTAGAATGCAGTGGCGGATCCAGGGGGCCCGGGGGGCCCAGTCCCCACCCCGGGGAAAAAAAGAACGTGTAAAAACACGTTAATGTTACATTTTTGGGGGAGATGGTCCCCCTCCCCTGGCGCTCAAGGGGGAGGGGGGTCCATCTCCCCCCCAAAATGCGATTCAAATTTTCGAGGGCCAAACAAAAAAGTGCTCACACCCCCCCCCCCCCCCCCCCCCTTTAATCTTTCTATGCTCATTAGTCGGCCAGTATACATTTTCTACCAAAATTGTTTGGCAAATAACATTTATTTGTAATCTTGAACAAGTGTAAGTTTCATTTGATTCTGTGAGAATTCATTTTTTTTTCAACCAGAACTCACCTTTATCTTATCACGTTTGCACACACAACCGTTTATACCAAGCCCCCCCCCCCCCCCCTCCTCTCTCTCTCTCTCTCTCTCTCTCTCCCTCTCTATCTATCTCTTTCTCTCTCTCTCTCTCTCTCTCTCTTTCTTTCCCTCTCATTCTCTCTCTCTCTGTCTCTATGTAAATACATATGTGTGGGTGTGTATGTGTGTATATATATATAATATCATCATGATCATCTTCATCATCAACATCATGCACTTTCATATGGCTCCGGTTGTCTCATTTTCGTTCGCTGGATCACTGCAGCACAAACATAGCTCGTTCGACGTCAATCAGCTGTGTCCCATAGGTCGATTTAAAAAAAAAAACGTCCATAGGCTAACATGTTAGGCTGCTGACTCTGATATAGGGGGCGTTGTGAAATGAGACTAAACGGAGCAATATTTTTTCTTCTTCTTCTTTTCTTCTCCTTCAACCACCGAATATGAATCTAAATATTCCCAGGGGGGGGGGGGCTCAGATTTTGTTTGGACGCCAGGATATGTGCCGTTCAAACGTCAAAACCCCTACCCACTTTTAAGGGTCATTTTGGGAGATTTTTCTCGAAATATTTGCCTATTTCTCACAATTTTCGGGTGTTCGCCATGCAAAAACCCGATTTCTTATTTTTGTTTTCTTTTTTTGGAAAAACCGACCAATGTTTAGTGATATTTTTGTTTAAATAAATTACCCATTAGAGCGGCACACCCATGTATGTCTTAATATGTGAGTACCCCCCCCCCCCCCCCCCCTCACCCCGGGTTAATTTTTTAGCTGTTGAACTGGGGAAAATATAGTCAAAATCAAGTTTGAACAATTTAATGCAATAATTCAGTTTTACAAAAATCATCAATCAGAAATCAGAAATATTAAAAATGAACAATAAAATAAGGATATTAATTACCATTGAATTTACATGTTGGCCTGTGCAATATTGCAATATTAAAACAGATAAACTTTATAACTTTGAGCTGCTTGTCGATAATGTTCCAATAGAAAAAATGTCATCAACGAAATTCTTAGGTGTATATATAAATGAAAAATGTAACTGGAATGATCATGTAAACTATATCTCTACCCCTATTTCTCGCAATATTGGTATACTATTTAAGCTAAAATACTTTTTGCCAACACATGTGCTTAGAATGCTATATAATACACTGGTTTTACCATATATTTCTTACTGCAATATCATATGGGCTACATAAGTGCAATACTAATCGTATATTACTGTTACAGAAAAAAGCAATTCGAGTTTGTACCGATGCAGGTTATCGCGACCACACTGAACCTTTATTTGCCACATTAAAAACTCTAAAAATAAGTGATATACACTACATGCAAAAATCTGTGTTCATGTTTCGGCTCAAATCCAGCAATCTTCCCCCATCACTAGTCATTTTATTCCAACATAATTTTAATTTTCATTCCTACCCAACCAGGCATTCCAATGACTATCACCTATTTAACGCCAAAACAGCCTTAGCTCAAAACTCAATTAGACATTCTGGCCCTGATACCTGGAATGCACTACCCCCTGAAATAAAAACGATGAATACAATGCTATCCTTTAAAAGAGCGGTGAAAAAGTTTCTTATTGCTCATTATCTTTAAATCCATCAACACAATAAGTTCTCCTCGTTTACCCATCGTTCCAAAACTCGATAATTTTCTGTACTGTTTACTTTTGTTTGCTTCCATTCATTGAAACGTTGATTATAACCTTCCATGACCTGGTATAAATACACGTATGAATAAAGAGTGGCCTACTTGGGATACTGAATAAACACTGTCTTCTATACAAACATTTCAAGGCTCCGACTCGCAGGCCCAGGTTTAAAACCAGCTGGCTGATCTTACTTTCACATTCTTACTGTCCGAACCTCGCGAGTCTTCTCATTCTATTGTATCCCAAGTTGGCCACTCAGTATTCAAATTTGCATTTCTTTTATTATTTAAAATCTTTATATATCAATTTGAAATCCAACTACCACACCCGGCCCCCCCCCCCCCCCCCCCCCCCCCACTCAGAGGTCGAAATGACCGCATGCGTGTTGCCAAAATGTCCGGTAAAGGGGTACTTTTCGTGCGACAAAGTCCGGCCCGAGAATTGTGAAAAAAGGGGTGTATTTTACTTTTCACCCGGAGATTTCTTTAAAAAGGGGGTATTTTTCTTTTTTTCTCTCATCTCTTTGGACTCCTGAGAAATTATTCCGAATTTAGGGGGGTATATTGAGCATTTTTCCTGATTTAGGGGGGTCTCCAAGGCAGAAAAAGCCCGCGAAAAGCCCGCGAAAGGGGGGTTCGGAAATGTTGGCAGTCCTCAGATAGGGGGTGCTTTTAAAAATAGGGTACGAGCATATGCGTACCCTAAATAACACTGAGTGGGGGGGCCGGGCTACCACATAAGTCTTTGAATATTGATGTGCATCCCCTCTTTCCTTTCTCTTCTTTTTTCTGTCTTTTCCCCCTTTTACCAATATTTTGTTCCTCCATATTTTTATTATTATGTCTCCTTTGAGGGTAGTCATACTATCAAGCTTTGCTTATTTTGTCAACCCTCCTGTTTGATGTTCTCGATTAGTTACACCCAGCCTTACTTTATTCTACATATATTCTTTTGTCATGTGTAAATTTGCAATATTTGTTTGTTATATATTTGTAAAAATGCAAAAGAAAAAGAAAATCAAACAGAAATAAATAAATCAAATCAAATCAAATCAAATCAAACAAATGAACACAATAAAAAATGATATACAAGTTATAATTAAACCAACAGGAAAAATTCAACAGTACTAAATCGTTACAAACTGCATTATCAAAATGCACATTCAAGCAGACTAAGTAACAACCACTGAAATACGAGACAAACAATAAAATATAAAACAATAAAAGTCTAAACTAAATGAGACTAATGAATTCTTAAATAAACAAGATATGTGTAATACAGAATCAGAGCGTGTACAAAATCAGTGTATAACATAAACGGACAATCAATCGCTTATCATTGAACAATATAGGAACATAATTATAACAATCAACTTCAGGTACAAAATACTCAATCAAAACAAAATTATCAACTATCGTTTGATATATAAAAACATACAATAATAATGCGTATATCTATATATTTTAAGACCGCATAAAATTGAGTGTTATGATCGTATATCGTGATAATATTTTTGTATCTCTTTTAGAACTTTCTGCCATATCCTCTGTAGGCTAGTTTTACCTACTTTTATAACACACACACAAGTCATCTGCTGAATATATATTGCTCGTTAAAAGAGATGTTATTATTAACTAAGGTTACAAAACTCTTACCAATGACAGTCATTATATATTGTATTGCTACGAATCCGAAGTCAAGTCAAAACAGAGCGAAGTCTATAGGACACGGAGCAATATTATCAGAATTTGCATGATTAATTATTTAGGTTTAGACTTTAGAGCATTCAATTATACATAATAGTAAACGCACAGTTGGTCTCCATGATGCTTTACAAACTAAATAGAGTTGAATTATTTTAACAAATCATTAACTTAAAGCTCATCTGTAGGCCTACTAGTTTACAAGAGGGATTATACCACCCTGCAAGGTCACTGGACAGGTGTTTATCTCATCAAATCAGCTCTCACTTTTAATAATAAAAAGAGGATCATGGGGGACCAATGGTCACCAATTAGGCATTGTTCGCTATATAGAGGGCGCTAGTAGCTCTAAGTAGTGCAGTGGGGCTTTAATGCATCGTACTTTGTCATAACAATTAGGTTCAACATCTGCTTCTTTTTGTAATGATATTTAAGGGCTTTATTAATTATGAGAATTATTAGTTCAGTCCAGTGTTTGATCCACTTGTAATTGCGAAATGATTTATTCTACTGCAATACATTTCAGTAAGCTCCCTTGAACAACATATTAAAAGTTTCAAGAAATCCAAGAATAAGAAATTCATGAAATATGCCTAATTTGCAAATTAACTGTTTATCAAAGATCTTTTTCTCTTCTATCTTTTTTTTTTCGTTTTTCCTTCTTTCTTGTTTTTGTTTTATTGTACGACCGCAACTACTTTCCAAAAATCTACCTAATAATCAATTTCAATATCTAAATAAAATTCCAACATGACACTGCCGTAATAATGTAATCACATTGTGATTTTTTTTCTTCTGTGAAAAAGAATCGCCCATTCCCCCAAAAAACAAATACTACTAATAATAATAATAATAATAATAATAATAATAATAAATAGATAAATAAAAATAAGGACAAAATTAAAAATTAAAATTGATATGGATTTTTTTTTTTGTTGTAAATCTCGGCCTGTGTTCTGATTAACATGCACCAATATTTAATTTGGCGATGCCTAGATTGTGGAGCTGAACAATAATGCTAAATTCCTGATTCATGGCATGGGCCTTCACGGCCGTGTCAGCGCGGATGTTGTCAAAGTAATGGTAGGCTACGTCAGTCTTGCTGCTTTCAAAACGCGAGGAGAAGGGCCAAAAACCGTAGAGGTCTATTTCATCACAAAGCTGTATGGCCATTGAAACCATGTAGAACCCTGTGAAATTAACAACAGCAACAACACAAATTCATTATATTTTGATAAAACCAGAATTAGACAACAGTATTAAGGACAATCAGATATGCTCCCGAATTTATCGTCTCTAATTCAATAAAATTCACTTCAATTCAAAGTTTATTTCCACTCAGACAAAATATAAAAATCAGATAGAAATAAAAACAGCATTTCAAGCTTTAAAAAGATTTGTTTAAATATCGATAAGAAAAGTGACATAATTATGGAGAAAAAAATTGAAAATTCACAATAACTACAGTGAAGCACAATTTAAAAAAAAAAGTGGACATGATTGGGGGTTTAATTATTAAAAAGCAAAAAGATGGTCAGGAATTGTAATGGCACCCAGGACAAATAATGACATTTACAAATGCCATTGTTTAAGATATCTCAAGTGGGAGGGTCATGAAAAGCACATAAATGGCTTGTTAAAATGATCATCACAAAATATACAAAATAACAATAACTGTGGTACATAATTTACATGAATGAAGATTACGACAAAAAAGGACAGAATGATAAAGAAAATAAAGAAAACAAAGAGAAAACATTGCATAAACATTGATCTTTATAAGTTATAAGAAGTTTTCAAATAGAAATTGCTTATAATCATATTCGTTTAAGTTAGTTGGTTTTCCTTCTATTCTTAATTATTGATGTAGGAAGATTATTCAATAAAACTGAGCCGTTATAGAAGATGTAAGATTGAGTTATTGAGATACGATTAAATGGGGAAAGAATATTTAGGGCATTCCTAGTATTTTAATTTATGGACAGAACAATTTAAAGTGAAATAATTATTTAAAACTACAGGAAGCATATTTTTTATAAATGTAATGCTTCCTGGGAGAAAATTTCAATTTTTTAAACATATTGTTGAGTATTTTGAACTTAAATATTTCAGTTTCCAAAGATATAAATTTGTGGGTAGGTAAACAAATTATATTTTCGTTAATAAAGGACTAGAGGATAGTAAGCAAATAACTACCGTTGGTGAAGGTGATGGGACAAACTATCACTTCCGAGGCGATCTGGATGTAGCTATCTTTCCGAAGCGAAGCTGAGGAAAGATAGCGTATACATTCTGATCGACGAGGAAGTGATAGTTTGCCATCGCCTGAAACCAAAAAGTGATTATTTGCTTTATATTCCACATCTATAAACAATATGTACTACAACAAGAAAAGGACGTGTATACATCTACATGAAAGACACTAGGCCCAAATTCACACGAAAAAGGTTAAAAATTATTTTAACCCAACCCCTTGAGGGTACGGTGCGCGCATGTGTTTGCTTTAATTGCGCTCATTGGTAATGCGCGCTTAATTACGCCTATTTTAGTGCGCTTTTGGATAATCTTCAGTGAAAGTGCGTTGCCCTTTGTAGATAGTACCTCTATCTTCAGTAAAAGTGCGTTGCCCTTTGTAGATAGTAGTACTATCTACAAAGGGCAACAAACTTTTTGCTTCTCCCATCAATGATGGGCGAACTATCTTTGATCACGTGATTTACTTATGACCAATCGTAGAGCAAGATTCTTAGTATGTGGAATATAAAATAGATTATTAACAAAACAAATTATGTGGAAAAAAAAACGATTTCAGAAGTTTCATCCCCATATCTGAGAACAAACTCCAAAATATTCTTTAAATTAATTGATCGTATGATTGATTGCACAATCAAACGCACAATTTAATCGTACGATCGTTCGCTAAGCTTTGTGTTATACGGGACCCAGAACGGATAACCAATCAAAATTAAAAGGCAGCTTACCAGTAGATAATTCTTTATTTATTGCACCAGTGCTTCTCCAGAAATCTATCACTGATTGGAAGTGTTTGTTATTCATGCATACCATCTTTGGTTTCTTTCCTTTGAACAAGTAAAAGGCTTTCATGACCTCTGATAATCGCATTCCAAGGCAGGGTATGCTCAGGATGCCGCTGTATTTTGAAACGTCAACATTAAATCTCTTGATTGCCTTCTTTGTCCGAAATCTGCGATATCTGCACCCAGGGGCAAAATGAAAAGAAACATGATAAAACAAAACAATGAATTATGATGATGATGATGTGCATGATGAAGTTGACGATGATAAAACAACAATAGAACCAATAATATTCAGAACATGAACCACAACGAAATATACTAACAATAATATTGTTAATAGCATTATTGATAAGGATAATAATATTAATAATATTATATCAACTATAACAATTAAGAAGAAAATATGTATATTTACAAAAAGAATAATGATAATAATAATAATAATAATACTAATGAAATGATGATACTACTACTAATAATAATAATGATAATAATAGTAATGATGATAATAAAAGTACTGATATTACTATTTAAAAAACAAATTAATCAAGAAGAAGAAGAAGAAGTAAAAGAAGAAAATTAGGAAGAAGAAAAAAAGAGGATGAAGGAGAAGAAGTACAATCAACAGAGTATAGGAGAAGAAGAAGACAATACAAAAAGAAGAGAAAAGTAGAAGGAAAAGAAGAAGGAGAAGTAGAAAAGAAGAAGGAAAAGAAGGAGAAGTTCGTTTGCTAGTAGTATGTTTTATTCCGGAGTTTAGTGCCCACTATATTGCTCTGGCACCAAAGCGTGAAGCATCTTGATTTTTTATATTTTTTTATCAGTGAATATTTGGGTCGTCACCCAGGGTAACCGCATCAGTTAATCTCTTCCGGCGAGTCCTGCAATTATAATTACTCAATCTATTACCAGGTACTCATTTACTTTTGGTGGGGAGGGGCAAGTGTGGATTCATATCTCGCAAAAGGACATTAGTGCTGGGCTGCATGGGATTCGAACCCTCAACCTGGATTGAGAGTCAAGTGAATGAACCATTTACTTGATCAATATGAAATCTCACCTTGTGCGTATTATGCTGGGATTCATCGTGATGTAATCACTTTTCAGACCAGCATCTACTTTGAACGGTGCAAGTGGGGCTAAGTTACATCTGTGATGAAGGAATTGGAGTACCATGAGTCACAGCAGATACATCTACATCATATTCTACCGTTACTATTATCACCACCACCACTCCTCCTCGTCGTCGTCGTCGTCGTCCTCCTCCTCTATCAACTCATCCTACTTCTACTACTACTACAACTACAACTATTAGTAGTAGTAGTACTACTACTACTATTTACATCACTAGTAGTTGTAGTAGTACTACTACTACTACTACTACTACTACTACTACTACTACTGCTACTACTACTACTACTTCTACTAGGCCTACTGCTGCTGCTACTACTACTACTACTACTACTTATACTTATACTACTAAACATACTACTGCTGTTGCTGCTACTACTACCACCATCACTACTGCTACTACTACTGCTACTACTACTACCACTAATACTACTATTACTAATACTTCTACGACTAATACTGCTATTCCTTATACTACTACTATGTATCACATATACGTACACAACGAATCTTGTTCAGGTAGCAAACAATTACACACAAATAACATATAAAAATAAGACATAGAATACAAAAACAATGATTTATATTCAAAATGAATGTAAGGAAATACATGAAAAATAAGGGACAAATCTTAAATGTTAGATAGTAAAATGATAAGAATGATATATATTACTGAAATCTAATTTAAAACATATAATACGGTGTGATCTAAAAGATTGCGACACCGCTTGCGATCTTCATGATCCCTTTGAAGATTACTTTTAGAAAACTACTACGAATACTACTGCTACTCCTGCTACTTCTAGTCTAATACCACTACTACATCTATTACTACTACTACTACTACGAATAATTACTAATATTATAGAAATTTTCTTTTTTTCTCTCTCTCTCCCCCTTTCTTTTTATATATATCATCTCGTCTTCCAGATTCCACATGGCAAAACTAAAGTAACTCTCGGGGACCGTGCTTTTGATATTGCTGCCCCCAACTATGGAATAGCTTGCCAATAGATATACGAAGCTCTCTATCTCTCAATATCTTCAAATCCAAATTAAAAACATATTTGTTCAATTCAGAGATTCTATTTTTGTAGAATTTAGTAAAATAGGAGCTCCGATTTTATACAATATATATTCAGCTGCGCTATATAATGTATTACTATTATTATTAATATTCTTCTCCTCATTCTCCTTCCTCCTCCTCGTCTTCTTGTTCTTCTTCTTCTACTACGAATAGAATTACTACCATCGTACTTCTACCGTGACCGCTACTACTACTACTCCTATTAATATCAATACTACTACTACTACTACTACAACTATCACTTCTAATATTAATACTACTACAATTATTTATTTTCCTAAACATATTACTAACTACGTCATACATTGATACTGCTTTGGGTTATTTCGGTTTTCCCCAATTTTTTTTTTTTACCTTATTACGTAGTCGTGTTTATCAATTTGTTCCCCACAGCCACTGTGAAGTATTGAACCGCTGTTTCCAACAAGTGCACAGGAGCGGTATCTCTTTCCCTTTGGTAGACCTATTGGATCACTCTTAGAGTGTAAAATAAAGCAACATGAAGCAAAACAACAAGACCTGCAATAATACACCAGTTCGGAGATACCACATTAATTTTGCAATTGATAACCTAATATCGACATATATTTTACACAATCATGTAAACGTCTCACATTTTGCACCTTAGTATAATCAATGCCATAGTGATGAAGGTGCTTCATGAAAATATTTTGTTTGTGTCCCTTTTGAAAAATAACACTTCCACCTGTGTATCATAGAAATTTTTGTCGATGTATGAATGAATATGCTTACATAACTTCCATGAACACGTACAATGTCTATCCAGCATTGGTTTTGCACGTTGAATCACCTTTATCTGCCCATGCGTAGATAACATCTCCGAAATGGCGGAATATACCGATGATAAGTTATCAAACATGATCTTCATATACATACTTCAAAACCTGACATCTTAACTTATGATTACACACGTGACCTTCAAGTAATTCAAGATAAACAGTATGGTTTTTAAGACCTTGTATTGGGTAACAGTTTTAAATTTACCATTTCGATTACCTTTTATTTAAACAAAAATGTATGCATGTGTATTAAGTTTGATTTAAGTTGATCATATTTGTTTGTAAGGATTGATTTCTATCTCATTTTTTCTTCAAACGTGCCAATTCATGTGAATTTATGTAATATAATGAATTTTTTTGAAACTCAGTGCATAGTTAAAAAACAAGTGTAAGAGAGGCAGGCGGAAATTAAGTAACACGCCTCCTTTTTCATTTGATACAACGGATGCATATTTCACGCATGAGTGATTATAAATAATTTGAAGAAAGGGTATCAATAAGACATTTGGTGAACGGTATCTGAATTTCAAAGAGAAAATCAGATTTCTAGAAAGTTCATTTTCTGCCCTTTCAAATGACACCTCAATCAGGAAAATTGAGCCTTGGGAAAACGAATTCGTTTAATAAAATTATGAAAAGGCGAGCATTACTTTAAACAAACAGAACTTTGTTATATAGGCAAGCCGATCGGGTACACATGTATTGTCGTCACCAGTGGCGTACGCAGGATTTTTTCAAAGGGGGGGGGGGGGGAAGGGTTTAAAATCGGGCCCAAAATTTCGCAACGACTCAACCGGCCGCTGAATAAGCGGAGGGGGGGGGGGGGGGGGGGGGTAAGCGTACACTTTTTTTTTTAGAGTCCCAAAAAAATCGCAACGACTCAGCCAGCCGCTGAATAAGGGGGGGGGGTAACCCCAACCCCCCCCCCCCCTCCTGCGTACGCCTTTAAACTTGTTATTAGGAGAGTTACGGAAGATGAGGTTTTAATTTGCTTTTGTCCATTACTGAAACCATAAATAACTGTTATTTCTTTAATAATAATAATGTAACTTATATCGCGCCAAATCCACTCTGTGGAGTGCTCAAGGCGCGTGTAAACAGGAAAAAAAATCAAGACTTGAAAAGAAATGTTTTGAGATGAGTTTTGAAAGAATCAGAGGATAAACATTTTTTGATGTCTTCAGGAAGGCCATTCCATAATTTAGGACTAGAGTATGCAAATGATACGTTAATTCAGCATTTCAGTGATATAAAGTTGTACTATCATGGGATTTGGGTCTTCTCATTGTCCTCTAAAAACGACACCCTCTCTGATTATTAACATGATCTTACCTTTGGAAGTCGATGAAATATTTCCGCCGTGATATTTATTGGCTTTTTGGAATAAACTTGTTTTACAGTTTCGTTTATTTTGACGTTCTTTTGATGAAGAATAATTGTTGTGCTGTCGTTTAGTTCTGGTCGATATCTCGCAAGCTCTTGTCTAGAGAAAATAATAAAACAAACAACAACAACAATAGTAAACGAACGAATGGTAGACAAATGGCGCATTTACCATAATAATATATTTTTCTCGTTTTAACAAAATGATACGCTATACTCATTTACACTCAGGCACATATTCACACACCCACACACACGCACCGCTGTATTCCCCTCATCCACGCTCACCGTTATCGTCCTCTCGGCACCGTCCTCCAGGCTCCCCGCATAAATGCTCATTAAGGGGAAACTACTAGCAGTACTAGTGCTACTGATACTACTAATACTACTCCTCCTAATGCTACTACTGCTACTATTGCTACTACTACTACTACTAAAATCGCGCCGACCGATATTTCGCTCAGTGGGGTAGGGGGCGGCCCTGACAACAACCACTTCCATTGCTACCACCACTTCTACCAATACTATTAAATACTGCTACTACTACTACTACTACGGCGACTACTTCTAACACCACTACTACCACTACTCAAACTGCTACTGTACGACGTCGACGATACTACTTCTACTACTAATACTGCTACTACTCACACGGCTACTACGACGACTACCACTACTACTATTGTTACTACTATGACGACTACTATTTATACCACTACTACCAATTGTACTGCTGCTACTACTAAAACGAAAACTTCTTCTAAAACCACTACTACCAATACTAATACTGCTACTATACCACCACCACGACGTACGAGTACTACTTCTAATACTAATTTTTAGAAATGTAAGTAGTACTAAGTACTGGGATCCATCATCTACAATGTATGTCATGTATTCTGTTGCTAATAACGTGAAGTGATTACACCACGTGCCCTCAATAAAAAATACTTTACACACAATCACATTTATTCTACCAGTGTTCAAGCTTTCTCTGTTTTCGTTTAAAGTTTGTTTGTTTTTTTGTTTTTGCTTGTTTGCCTCAGTGATATTTTAAAAACAAAACTCTCACCTCAAGATATCTGAATTAGTTTGGTTTGCTTAACAACAGTCATAGTCATAGTTCAAACTCTCACCTCAAAATATCTGAATTAGTTTGGTTTGCTTGAGAACGGTCATAGCTCATACTCTCACCTCAAAATATCTTTATTAGTTTGGTTTGCTTGAGAACGGTCATAGCTCATACTCTCACCTCAAAATATCTTAATTAGTTTGGTTTGCTTGACAACGGTCATAGCTCATACTCTCACCTCAAAATATCTTAATTGGTTTGGTTTGCTTGACAACGGTCCTAGTTCATACTCTCACCTCAAAATATTTGAATTAGTTTGGTTTGCTCGACAACGGTCCTAGTTCATACTCTCACCTCAAAATATTTGAATTAGTTTGGTTTGCTGTCCAATCCTTCTTGACCAATTGTTCATAAACATACAGCAGTTGGTCACCGATGTCTCTGAAGTTCCAGAGTTTACTTAGCATGGAATTGGTTTTCATTCTGTAATCAACAAAAAGAAAGTTGCGAAAATTATAGCATTAAGCAAAATGATAAATTATCAAAAGGACATCTTTTATTAAATAATTCCCAATCTAAAGGTGTTGTTGTCAGCCCCGTCGTGAGAATTATATTAGGGAATTTTAGATTGAATGGACGAGAACGGCATGAACGTCCACTGATCA